ACAGCATTTCGTGCCTTCGCTATCTCTCCACTACGCATTTTGTATTGCGCCTGCCACGACATCTGCATGATGAGTGGTGTATGATGAGTGGTGTGTGATGAGTGGTGTATGATGAGTGGTGTATGATGAGTGGTGTATGATGAGTGGTGGTTGAACAGCTGTTGAATGTCCGTAACACGGAAGTTTTGCACACTAAACTTCCTTTGATTATTCTGTTGCTCCATCTCCCAACCTTCTTGTGGTCGACCGCCCAGTACCGCCGCCCCGCCATGCCCCGCCTGTGTCCAGTTGGACCTCCATGGCGGCCTAACAAAATCGGGATCAGTTCGATCGAGTCAGGTTCGAGTCGATCGATAAAGATCCGACGAGTCCACGAGTCACTTTCTAGGTTCGATCTGGGAGATGAACGAACTTCGTGACGCTGGACGTCCTGGGGTCGGTAGAGGATGCCAAAAGGATTCTCAGCTGAGTTTCGTGATGATTCATGATCCGTGTTATCTGATAGAGGACGTTCTCCAAACCTTCCTGACCCAACATCCTCCGGTTCATCCGAGTTTCTACAAACCCCCCTCGGGCCCCATGTCACCATGGAGAACGGTCTTCCAAACCAAGACCACCCTTGGAAAACTGCCAGGTCTGATCCTGCACATGGACAATTGCTTGCAGTACGTAGATATATATATATATTATATATATACTGTATATTCTGTCCGGCACCTGGTATTAAGGGTTTCTTGAACAATCCAACACTGTGATGGCTCCCCCCAATCGAAGTTGCACCAGCCGAGCTGCTTTGCCTGTCCAAGTCTACAAAGTGAACTAATCTTGGGAGCACCTCTCCCGACCAATTCAATGGACCCATCGCTCCCGTTGAAGGGTACCCCGGCAAGCTCTCATGTACCATACAACACCTGAAGATGAATGGTTCGGATTGTTATAATCGAAAGACAAGGGCCGAGTCGGCCTACTAGTGTCAACTGAGGAATCAAAGTGAATCAAATACATGGACATGGCAGTGGGTCCAAACAGGGAAATTCCGGTCCCGAATATGAACAGAATAGACGAGTCCTGGGGAATACTGGGGAGGTCAAGCTACCAGTTCCGGGCAACACGGGTGCCATGGGATGTGGGACAGTCACTGAAACATCTGCAGAATGAATCTGAGGGAGGGCGACGAGTGTTCGAGTTCGGTGCACGGCCCCATGTTTCGGCGGTGCAGGTGGGAGATGTGGGAGAATCCGTGAGTAGCACCTTTTTAGGACTTCCCAAAGTTTGCCCTCTTCTTCTTACAAAAAAAGGCAACGGGCTTCAGGGTGAACGAGTCTTCATCTTGGTCTGCATATCTTGAGCGCCGAACGCGGCCCACCCTGCACGATGTCCACGCTATCCAAGTGCAATCTGAAGTGACAGGAATGGTCGCGGTGGCCGTGGTGGTCGTGGTGGTCGTGGTGAAGGTGGTCACGCTGTCGTCGTTAGGAGCGCGTGAAGTTGACGTGGAGGCTCCTGTGAGCATGCGAGAGCTGCGGCTGCTGGTGGTTCATGGCATCACAGAATGCTCAAGAAGGACACACATGAAAAACAAACTGCCAAAGATTTTGAATTGAGTTACATTGGTACACGGTTTTGCTACAATCTTTCTGCAAGCTTGTCCGCCACAGGACTTCGTCAACCCACACGTGTCTTCTTCCCGTTTGATGCTGAGTCATTCAGCTTTCACGCCGACCAACCCGATGTCCCAGAGCTTTGTCTAGAAGCCCGCACAAATTGGTGTCCTTGGACACCTGATCATCCTCTGAAAGCCATTGTTATATTGGTTCGTGGGAAAGAAAATCCTTTGTGTTGCTTCTGGTCTCTGTGTTCAGGACCATCTCCCCCTGCTGTTCCGCTTCTATTTTTTCGCCGAGGAAAGCAAGTGCATTGGGTAAGTCATCCCATTCAGTCTAACTGTGGATGATGATGATGATGATGATGATGATGGTCAGTAAGAACCCAAACCAGTTGGAATGCACTTCGACTCACTAACATTGAAGTGGAAAAACCTGCTGGTTGGAGAGGACAGTAGTCGTCCAAAAGGCCCATAGTCCACTTCCATGTCAGTGAGTCGGAGTGTAAACGCAACATATTGAATTGAACAAAAGAAACAGCTCGTCATTTCAGCGAGCTTTGAATTCAAACACAAACAGCCACCGAAACGGGACCAAAACAAACAACAACGTGTCCTCCTGAGGTTGTTATCCCGGTCTGGCCGCGCAAAGAAGGAGAAGTTGGAGTCGTCGGAGGCGTAGCAATGGAAGGGTCCTTCCCATGCTCACCTGGTTTCACGCTGACCAATAATGCCCCAACATCCAACCATCATCAACGAGAGTTCCAAGAACTGTGTCCACTTTGGCCAATACCCACAGGCCATCGAGTCCTCATGGAGTGGTCGGACGTCACAAAGAAACGAAAGAAAGTGGAGATTGCAACGAACGAAATCTTAATGCATTAATATGATCTAATATGCATTGATATGCATTGTATAGTTCTACGAGAGATGGGCTCGATCATGTTTGATTGGACATGGCCAGCACCTTGTACCTGTGTATTGTTAAGAGTCCTCGTAATGTAGTTGTATTTACGGACTGGTTGGGAGGCCACCTGTATACCCCTGAGAACATAAATGACATACTGTAAATATAGTCTAATCAGCGATGGTTCCAACCACCTTATCAGTGAGGTAGGAACAACCCCCCCAGGCAAACGGTGGGGTCTTTCCATCAATGTCACCACAGCAATGGAACAGAAATGGACCGTGTGCTTTTGTGTCTTTTGTGCGTTGATGCTTCTCGGCGGATGGCATACGGTTGAAAACCATTGAAAACCAACACCTTGAACATCCCTAGCGGATTTGACGGTGATCCGGCACCGCTGAAGGAGAAGATGACGGGCGGAACTGCCGGTTTGTGTCTGACAAGCCCCAAAAAACTAGACATAGACCACTTGCAGCTTGATCGTTGACTATAAGACATCCTTGTCGTTTCTCCCAGAGCGTTTTGCTCGTCCAATGTTGCAGCAATGACCATCCTTGGGAACCTTATAGATCATATAATAGACATTATAGACCAAACCCGTACAAGAATCAACCCATGAAACTTGGTTAAGCAAGCACACCGACTGACCAGCCTCTCTAGCAATGCCTGTGACTTTGTAAGCGAACGCCTTTGTAAACAAAAGCAACCAGCACAGCATGGCATGCACAAGTCCTATTGGATTCTATTGTACTGTTGACACACGAACACACAACTTCTTGCCCCCGATTCCCAGAAAAGGACCCCATTTCCCTGAACAACGCATCAAAAAAGACTCAATTGCACATCTGGCAACAAAAATAATGGCATTGAGAGGCCTCGGTGTCTCCATGCCGAAACTCACAAACCCACGTTCCGCCGTGCAAACCCACCTTTGACCGTTTTTTGGGCCGCCGGGGCAGCGGTCCATTCCGCCCAGTCGCAAAGGAAGGGCCCCGTGAAGTTGTCGCCTGGGGCGCGCGCTGACCGAGAGATAGCAGTCGACTAAGACGGGTTGACCACCCATGGGTAAGTTGGCAAAACACAACATAGCCACAAGGTTGTGGGGATGTTTTGGGTTTTGCGCGGTCAGGGGGTCACTTGGTGCATGCAAAATCCGGTCACTTGGTGCAAATATCAACAGCTACTAAAAGAGTCACCTCTGGCAAACAACTGGCAAACAACATTCAATTTGGGGTTGGGTTTTAGGGTGTTTAATGATTTTGGAGTTGGGTTTTGAGGGATTTAAATGATTTTGTGAGGATTTTGGAGGCTGTAGGGTATGCACTCGAGCAGCGACAAGGTTACCCCAACACCAGGCTAATTGAGTAATTAGAGACCTCACTAAACTAAACCTGTTGGTCAAATGTCCAAATGCTTCTGGCATCTTCTGGCCTCCCCCATTGCTTCCGGCATCTGTTGCTCAAGGACACATGGATGAAAACGCCAGTCAGTCCCTCACGCTGTGGCGGTCGTGGTCGCACGGCTCTCGGATGCGGAAACCAGTGACCGCTCAGCGACCTGGGAAGTGTTTGAGCCATCGTGAAGGTCCACCCGGCGGCAGCGTGTTCAAAGGCACCTCGGATGAGCAACCGTGCAGATGAGCAACCTGTGTAAACCATGTTTTACCGATGTTCTGCACTCGAATCCATGAAGGGATCATGAGATCTGCCATAGATCTTTCCAAAGAATCCACCCCTGAGTTCCATCGTCTGCTCTGAACTTCAAACGCCGGGTGGGTGTGGGTCGTTCGATCTTTCTTCATGATGATCCTGCGCTGTGTGGATTTCAGGTCTCAAGATTTCTCTTCACAGTGGGTGCCAGAACAACCAGAGGAAGACCGAGTTCAATCCCGCAGCTTCCAAGAGAACACGACGATCACACGCAAAAACCCAGAAACCACACACCGAAACCAAGAGATCACACGAAATGTTCCGATTCTCGGGTGCTCCAAGCAAGCCCACTGTTCATCGGAGTTTTGTGATGACGCAAGGGCCAGCCAGATCCACAGGGATGACGCCTGCGTCTTTCTCAGGTCTTCCGTTATTGGTTTTGTGGATCTGTGCAATGGTAAAATCCCAAGCACTCCATGTATGGCATGCAAGAATATATATATATATATAATGGCTACAGTGACTTAGATTAAATCATATTAAATCACTGAAACCACTGCAGAATGTAAGAAACATTAAGAAACTAGTTATTACATTCAATACAATTGGTTATGTGGGGTGTCAGGGAGCGGCAACAATTTGTGCACTCTTCATCCCTCTTCGGATTTGGTGTTGATTCAGACTAGCCACGATGCTGGCATGGTACTCATACATGATCACACCGGGCCAAATGTTGCAGTTCCTCAGATATTGGCAGTATCGTAAAATCCGCGGCCTATTGGCCTATAGGCGTAAACAAGTTCTTGGAGGGAGGTCAGTGGTTCTCCTTGTTGCTCGTGGGGTGTCATCTTTTGGATTTAAAGGTTTGTCATAGAGTCATACTCTGCAAGGTTACTTCATTAACTACTGCATAACTAGCCATGATACGTTTAATACTGTACCTACAGAAAGCAGCTGGCTACGACGGGAAAGAATTGCTCAATTGCTCAACTCCAAGTTTGGGAAACGCATCATCCTTGATGGCCACACACAACCCAATTTTGGTGCATTAACAAGTAACAAGAAATCTTGACTTAGAATAAACAATTATACAATATATACACTAGGTGTCCTGCACCTACCACCTGAGAAATCCACGTGACCACCACATATGTCAAACAACGACTGACATACATAAAAGTCTCTGGTGCACCTATTAAAAGTCTCTGGAAACCCTCGCAAACTGATCACTGGAGGTTTTATCTCTCATCTTTCAATTTCCTCCACAGTGGTCATCAACATCAAAACTCATGGTGGGGCCTTCCTCATACCAGGCAAGTTCTCTTGCTGACCAAGCGCCCCCAATCTCAGGATATCAAAAAGGACCAAGGGCTGGGGGCTCTGGTACAGGATAGTAGGATAATGTAGGATAGATAAACTGACCTACAGTACTTAACACATGGAATGACAACTTTTTGAACATAGGTTAAGTGCTTTGTTCATGATGTTCATGCCGTCCAAATCTTGAACACCCGAAGCACAACTTGTGCAACTTGCCTAGGAGATGGCAAAAACAAACTGAGGTCTGTGGCATGGTCGACATCATCTGCCGCCGAAGATCAGTAGCGCGTGCAAATCCTTTTCCCAGGGCACACCCGTGCGACGGTAGAGTGTCTTCACCGTCTTACTCAGCAGGGCCGCAGAGAGGGAGAAGCTCGAGAAGGACACCAAAAGATGCCTCGAAGGTGATCGATGTGGAAGCGACAAGTTCCGGCTTTTGCGTCCTTCAGTGTGGCCACGCACATGTCTATATACTGCGAGGAACACATCACATGGAAGTGGAGTTACCACCTGTTTTGTTATTTGGAAAGTAGTCATTCTTTTGGGGCCATGCCATCCATGTAACGATTCTGGCAGGGAGTGTTTTCGTGAACCATCTTGAGATTCATCCGTGGGTCATGGCACCCAACCCTTGTTGACTCCAATTTCAGCACCCTCCATATGGATGTGTTGCACCCGCATCATATGGAAGTCTCGCGCCCCGCACGGCACCCCCATCCCGGCGGCCATCCCTGGCATCCCTCGCCTGGCCCGCATGAGGCTGGCGAAGTGGAGTGTCACTGAATCTCGGAAGGAAGGAAGGCTGGCGAAGTGTAGTGTCACTGAATCTATTCAAAGTGTGCGATGGCTCGACGACTGTGTCGCTTTGATTGTAGGTTGGCTGGGGTCTCATTTTCAGATGGGTCACTTTCCGTTTCAGAAGGGAATTCGGCCAAACTCCAGGTCCGCCTCCCAAGGCCCAGCACATCTCGTTTTGAATCTGGTGTCTTAAGCACTGACCTCAGGACTCGAGTTTGGAAGTCTCAGGAAGTCTTCGTTGGATCCTTTTGTGTGCTTCCATTGGGATTGAAAGGTACGGGCAGTATGGGCGTGGACCACTGTGAAGACCAAGACGGATTCCAAAGGCGCGGTGCTGTTTTTTAACTACGTAGTTGGAAGAGCACAGCCTTCCAAAGCTAAATTGCAGGGTGTCCATTGCGTTGGTCACAATAAAACCAGCTTCTTCTGTTCATCACCTGTCCAGCATCCCTCATTACGTCTATCTCAAAAGTTGGATCCAATGAACCTCTCAGCCTCCCTGAATCTTGCCCAAGAGGCTGTTCTTCGGTCGCTCCACTTGGATGTCTTTGCTGAGATTCTGCTCGAAAAAGGATTGGCAGGCAGGCTTCCTCAACATCCCGAGCACGAACAAGAACTTGTTCTGCCATGTTCCCCCGCTTCTCTTGCAGGGACTGTGCCGTCTTTAAGATGGTATTGCTTGGCCATTGGGCAAATGTCGAATGATGTTGAATGATGTCGAATGAAGATGCCAAAGTACAACATGACCCTACTCCTTCTTGTCAAACAAATGGAACCTTCCAGCAATGGTTCTGTTCGCGAGAACCCTCTTCCTCGTTGAGCGGAATATGTTGTTGCATGCTTCCGGAGTTGGAGGCTTTGACTGGTATAGACATGAGTCGATTCCACAAACAAAACATCACCCGCAATGCATGTTAAGTGCACTTCTTTCGATCCAAAGTCCGTGGCTTGAATGGCAACCGAAATCTTCAAAACACCCCAAGTAGAGCAAAGCCATGGCTACCATCACGAGTCTTGAAGCAATCTACAGCTATTACAATCACAAAGATGCAGTAATGAAGCTTGCGACAGTTGCATCTAGGCAACGCATTATACTCCAAGACTAGTCTGACCGTGCTGTTATAATGCCTTTACGCCTAATTACCAGTAGCACGGATACTATATATATATATATATGGTAGTTGTGAGGTGGAAACTCAACGGTACAACCGGGATCACTTACGATGTAATGCATGCAAAGTTGACGGGATATGAGCGGATGCGAGGGTGCAAAGGGTTGGTGAAGCACGTGGAAATGCATTGATTACTATTACTATATAATATCATATATATATATGGAAGAACATGGAAGAACTATTAAGAACTTACCTTCACCTGTTGATGAATTTGCTGATATTGCGCAAATTCCAGTCACTTCGCACGCTTTAGGGGCCTCCTGAATCACAACAAATAGGCTTGGTGCATGACAGATCTTCACCCAGAAGTTTGTTTGGAAGAGAATTAATATCTGTCAGTGAGGTGTTAGTTTTATTGGGGTAGATATCCTTTTAAAATGGAAGAACCACTCGATTGAGCGGTTATGGCCACCTGGACGACGCGAACCACCAACCACCTGGGCAACTTGGAGGATGCGAGTTCATATGACGAGAGGCCCTAAGAAAATCAGCATGACCCGCCGATAGCGATGCTCTTGGAGAATCCGTTGGTAGAGACCTGCAGGATGCACTTGAAGATCCGAATGGATACGCTGATACAGAGTGAACCAACAATCCGAATTCATCCAAATCAGTCAACACCTGGAGCCTGCGGAGGATGACTCGTTCACCTATTTTGTGGGTCCGTCTCAATGACGTTTGTTGCGTCGAAACGCCCCGTGTGACGCTTTTGGGTCCCATATCGGGTCCCATCTTCGCCAAAGCATCGATTTGGCCTTTTGGATCCTTTTGGTATGAATTGGTGGCCAAAGCTGGCCGATGCACTGCCCAGCTTTGATCACTTCCACGAGGGTTTAGGGTTTAGGGACGGCAGGACTTGAACTCTGAAAAGGAGTGCCAGAAATCCTGCAAAAATCGGCACCCACTGCCCCCCTTTCATATGTGGTGGATTGTGGTGCTTGGAAATGGGCGTGGATGACTGGAGCGAATGGGAAATAATGGTGTAGCTTTTGGCTGCAACATGTTGCAACTCTCATCACACCTAGGAGGCTCGCTCATCCTCTTGATTGCTCTTGTGTGGGATATTTCTGACTACCATTCAGGTCGGTTGGATTTCTTGCGTCCAAGTTACTGCAGGGAGGCTGGCTCAGTTCGTACCTCTGGTTGTTTTCCAATCGGCTTGAATTCAACATGAAGCTGGAAACACCACGAACCATGTGAACCCCACAAGTTAAGATATAGATGGGCATAGATGGATCGAGTAGTGAATCCGTTGGATTAAACACGGACATCATGTCATTTCAACCTGTTTGCACGGGCAGCTACTATGACCTGGTAAACAAGTCTGCCAGGTGAATTGGTCGACGAACACCATCATTCTTTCCGTCTCAGCACCCGACTGAAACACCACTCTGTTGGTCACCATCGAGGTGGACGGCTGGCTCGTACGCTGCGTCGTCTCGGATCAAGACTGACTATCAATGACATGATATCGATAATATCAATTCCTGTGATCTGTTCTTCCCCCGGAAGAACTCGAACAGCTCCAAATCCCGAAATTCTCTACTCGTATGGCCAATCCCGAAGCACCACTGGGCGAAGACGTCGCTCGGTGGCGACGAAGCAGGCGCCATTCAAGGATTGGAAAACAGGGCGTTTGCTATTTGGAGACGAAGCAGGTCATTCACCAAAAGAAGGAACCCAATATATAGAATCTTCACCATCCTCACCATCCTCCAAAGGTCATTCTATGTTCAACTCCCCTGGAACCTGGTGTATGTGGATTTTCCATCCTTTTCCCTCGCCCCTCGCTGCGATTCTCCTCAGTTCGACTGACACCACTGATGTATCATAATGGAACCATGACAAAATGGGACCAAGGACAGTGACATGGCATGACATGGCCAGTTGAAACCTGCTGCCGATTCAATCTGACTGAGAAACTGAAGCTGCGCTCGAACGGTTGGATCCAAGGAGCATCGGAACCCGTCCAACATCGTCGCCTCGCAAATGCACTGTGAGCACGTCCTCCTCCTAAGCAGTGGATTGGGTCCACTAACATGAGGCAGAAAGGACAATACACAGAAAAAAACAATGACGCCAAAAGCAGCGGCTGGTGGGAGAAAGAGCTGTGTCGACTTAAAGAAACCCGGATCAACCCAGTGATGACTGCGCGTCACCGTGACGCTGACAAAATACCCTGATGTTTCAGGCATCCCCAAGATGTGCGTTCCCAAACATGAAACCAAACCTCTGTCCATTGATGACTTGTCGCACGTGATGAAACCTCCACATAGTAGGAACCTTCAACTTCACGGAAGTCCCTGAACAGTCTATACCTTGAATTCCACCTGAATGTCTCATATATTTTTACCACCAACCGCATCGGCGAGTTGACATGGGCAAAACTTCATCACCGCAGTCATCTTCTTGGTCCTTAAGAAGGTCCCCCAAGTCTCCGCCGTCGTGAGCGCTGCTTCGATCTGCAAGAGCTGTTGTCCCAAGTGGGGCCGTACGTAGCGCCTTTTCGGCTTCAGGCGTGACAACATCCCGGCGACATTTCCGGCGAGGCGACGTGGCCTATCTTGGCATTTAACGGCCGTGAAAGGACGGACAGGGGTGTGGGTTTTTTAGGTTTTTCCTCGACTGTCAGGTGAGGGTCGTGAGATTTTTACAGATCGTTTTCTCCTCCTCCGCCTTCTCCTCTTCCTCCGCGCCAGACCTCAACAGAAAGCGCCAGATCGCAGTGGGCAGAACCGGACCTCAACAGCAAGCGCCAGATTGCAGTGGGCACTACCGGCACACCATACCAGCACAATGGAAAAAAAACACAAGCGCCCAGCTCAAGTCCCCAACCCAACCACCAAAGACCCTGCCGTCTTGGGCACGGGCTCATGCTGTCGCGCATCTGCCAGGGGAGCCGGTAAGCCTCATGGGGTGGCTAATTCCCTGCCAGCAGCCGGGGTCTTTGAGGCGCTGCAAAGAAAAGCATTGAGGTCTTGGAGGCCCCCCATTCATAATTTTTTAGATCCCGGTGGCATGCGAGAGCACTCTGAGCCAATGCCTGAAGAGGGTCTGGCCCCTCATCGCGCTCTGTAAATGCAGCTTCTGTGGGTGCAGATGGCACAGCACCTGAACCATCATCACGCCCTGTGGATGCACCATCCATGGGCACAGCATTCGAGGCACCAACGATTGAAGCACCCATACGAAGCAGCTAGCAAAGCCATGTGCCGTTGAACGTCATTGTCATGAGGCAAGCGTCCCTGGGCTTCCATCTGGGCCATACGAATGCACATCACCTGAGCAATCTGAACCTCAAGCCACCCATTGCATCCTGCAAGTCATCTCTGCTCTCCATCTCAGCAAAAGAATGTTTCAGCTGTGGAAGGCTGGAGCTTTACTTGAACCATCTTGATCTGCACATGATCACCCATGTCTGTAAATAGATGATCATGCCTGTAGTAAATGCGACCTCATGCCAGTGGTCACACTCACATGTATTGAACACACAGTCACAAACAAACCCGCAAACACACAGTCTCAACCACAACCACAAGCACAGCCACAAACATACAAACACAAACACAATCACAAACACACAGCCCACAAACACACAGCCACAAACACACAACGACAACACACAGCCACAACAATAGTTTACCTGTGTGGTATTTTGCGTGGTAGGTGGTCACAGGGTAGCATTTTTGGATGCCAACTGGTGACCCCGACGACACCCCGACGCGACGCGAACTCCTTAACATTGAAATAGCAATCCCAAACCCGAGGACCCACAAGCAAAATCAAAAACCACAGAACCCACAACCATGGCAACATGCTCCTCAAAATGGCATGAAAACACATGATTGAAATGTCATGGCGGGATCACTCGAAGCAAAGTATTTTTCTTGCAAAGGTCGAAGAATCGAAGATTCGGAACTGCTGGGTCGGGAGAAACGATCAGACATGGATATGATGTGATGTCGTATCAGAAGGATCACCTCAGAAATGGATAACCTCAGAAGATGATTACATGGACTGCGGAAACCTTTGGCAAGTAGTGAAAGAAAACACGAGGACCATTGATGATCAGGTTCGATCGTTTTCATGTGTGTGGTACAGGGGCTATAGCAGCTACAGTCTCTGTCATCACCTGGTCTTTTTGAGAGTGATCAATTGACATGGGCCGAATGTGCCAATTCAAGTTGTGGCCCTTGTTCTGAGTTCCACAAAGTGCAAGAATCCTGGATCAGGTCCTGAAGATCAGAAGCGCACCTATGAGGATTTGGCCACATGGAAGTGACCCCCACGGATTTGTTCGACCCTCTGTGGATTTATTACGCTAGAGATGCTAGAGAGAAATCCATCAGGTGTCCTTACTCTTGAAGGGTGGATAGCCGCATAGCCTTGCAACAAAAAAAGGTCCGGTTCGCAATGACGAATCTACAAAACTACACAGCCAGGACAATAAGTTGGTAACAAGCTTGTGAGTACATAACCTACAACCCTTTCCCCTTAGAATCCTACAGGGATCACAGTGGAATGCTGGCGGATCAATTTCCCCCCAGAAGTAAATCTGTTTTGAAAATTAGCTAGGGGTGGAAACTAATCCGCCGGAATTCCATAGGGAAAGAGAAGTGATGTCAATGACATTCTCGAGTGAAGTTGTTACCAAACTTTCTTCCTCCTGAAGTATGAGTATCCTGGTAGACTCAACGTTCCCTTAAACATCCTGAAACCAATTCTTGTCAAAATAGAAAACAAATCATGAATCTTATCAACATTTTTTAATGAAATACCCTTTGGCGCCTTTGGCCCTTAAAACTCTGGTCTAAGTGGCTGCATGACTTGCCAGTGACGCCAAGCCGGCACGCTGCCGTTGCAGTGCTGGTGGTACCTAAGTGACGCATCCCCCCGAACGCCGTGAACGCCGGAAGCGCCAGGCCCACGGAGGCGGAGGAGGCGGAGGCAGAAGCGTGTATCAGCTGGCTGTGGAATCCGGGGAAAAACAGCTGGCTCCAATTGGTTCTGTCTCAGTTTGTGGGGGAGAAGTAATGCCGATGCTTCTCGCAAAGCCCAGCTGGAAGTTCATGATCGAATCGGAGAGCCTTTATCAACAATTGGTGACCTATCTCGGAAACTACGGCAAGAGTTCTTGAGGTATACCACTGGAACTTGGACATCGTTTATTTATCTTCCAATTCTATTCCGATTGTGCCTACCGTATCCATGTCGTGGCGAACATGTTCAGTGACCCAACATGTCTTGGGTAGTAAGCAAACAACAGAGAATACCCATTGTTTTTGTTTTTGCTTGGAACTGGCACACCACAACGTCATTAAAGATCTTGAGATCAAAGTTGGGTCAGGTCGTGTTCTTAATTTTTCTTGCAACGATTCATTCAACATTCCAAGTTTCTTGAAAAAGAACACTCGGAAGAACTGAACACATGGAAGAACGTGCGAGTTGAAACCGGTTTAAGACAATCCACCAACAAATCCCACCACCGTCGACCTCAGCTTGTCCCCCACCGGCATGCTCATATCTTCAAAATGGTTTCTTCCTTGTTGGGGTCTCTGCAAATGTCTAGGTGTGCACTTCAACTGGCCACTTCAACACCCGGCCATGACACAAAACAAGTCATCACTGCAACCCTGCAGATTGTCCGCAAAGCAAAGGTTTATCATGGTTTATCTGATACAAAGCGTCTGAACCATTTCGCCAACGACCACAATGGGAAAACTACCCTCATCCGGACAAACAGCGAAACTGAGAAAGCAAAGTGGCCTTTACTGGGAGCAGTTTGTCTTTTGAACAAACAGGATGTGGGGGTCTCTGGGCAAAATTGATGGTTCAAGTCCAGGTTTGCCACCGAGTCTGGCTCAGCAACAGCTCCTTCCAAAAGTGCTCTTAAGAGTCTTAACAAACAGATGTTCCCAGCCGGTTCTCTTTTTTTACCGACCAATCTTCACTTAAAATGATCCTTAAAATGAGCCTCGGCCGCACCTCGGTCGACTTCGCGCCGAATCATCGGACACCGACGTCGGAATCATCGGTCGCTGCCAGGAGACCAGTTGCTGGACTTGAAGCTGCTGGGGCAAAAACTCGGCACCTCCCACGCCGCGATCGTCGGCGGATGAAGCGTGCGACCAGCTGCTTGAGCGTGGACCCGTCTGGACGACAAGTGGGGAAAAATGTGTGTGTGTGTCCATCTCATAGAGATTGAGATGGGTACAGTATCCCACAAGTCTGTTTCGAATGGGGAAGTATGTTTCTTGTCATCACCTCTTTGAGTGTCACTGTCCAAAGAACCCAATGATTGGCCCAAAGAAACGTCCCGTCGAAGTGTGCCCAGGATAGAGCTCGAATTTGTCATACCGGAAGACATCAAACTGAAGAGAAATGTCTGCTGGACAATGGAACATACACCCTTCAACCAGGAATTCAACTCTCTAACCAACTTGCAGCCGCTACGACTAGAGTATACAAAGTCCGCTGAAGTAGAACATGATGCAGTGGAACACCGTGGACCATATATAATGTCAAAGAAACTCCCTGTGAGTAAACATATCTGGTCACATGTTCATCTTTTTGTTTTTTGTATGAAACGATGTCGAACATGTACAGTAATACATCACTGTGCGACACGTGATTACTCGAGGTGTTTGTCCTTTATAAAACGGTTCGCTGAAAAAACAGTGTCACTGTGCATCATAGGTCCTGCAGGAACAGTCTTGGATCTCTTGCGTCAGTCAACCTCCTTACGAGGCTGCCCCATGTGGTACTCCGATGAAACTGGCCGATCTGAAATCTTGAGTAGAGATAGTAGAGGGATTGCCGTATATCTAAAAAGCATCCATTCATTAAAATACCCTCAAAGTCCTTCACATGGAAGTGGACAAAAACACATGAACAACCACTTGATGGAACAAACGGAAACATGGTCTTCCAAGGGCCCATGCCATCCATTTCCCCGTGACATGTCACATGCTGTGTTTGTCAGACTGTATCCAACAAAGCCAACGCCCTTCGCACATCAACATCTGGAACCAAGCTGCAAAGAGTGGCTGGGGATGACTTTGTCCTGCATGTCTGACACCCCTCTGAGAGTGGCTGGGGGGCCGAAATGGACGCACCGTTGATGTAGCAAATGTGGGGATGACACCATGGCAAGAACATCCAAAAACCCTCCAATGCTGTGCAACATGACCTACATTTTGAAAGACAACAGGTACAACATGTCGCGTCCTACCCGAGGAATATAATGCTTACGGTGGTCTGTAAAAACATGGGCGGTGCGGTGTGAACCTGGTAGATTAAGTGCTGGTGCACAGAATTATCCGCACATCATGCATCCATAACGGAGGAACACGGGAAACCAGCTAAACCAGTCGAAACTTTATGTTGTTTCTTCGTTGAATGCCCGGTCAACCAGGTGTTGAGAAGTTGCAGCACATCTTCAGTTAATCAAGGGTCATTGGTCTTCATGCATGAGGGCATGTTCTTCCTGCTTCTTTTGTTCTAGTCTTTTCAGAGTCCCTTGGTTATACATGTCCCAACCTTAGCAATATGGATGAAAGCCACGTGGCAAAGACAAACAAACAAACAAGCAAGCAAGCAAGCAAGCAAACAAACAAACAGTAGTAGCTTCTTGCTCCTAGTAGCGATGCCCTTTGCTCCTAGTAGCTTCTTGCTTCTAGTAGTACGGCCAGGAGCCCCTAGTAGCTTCCTGCTGCTAGTAGCGAAACAAGCACAGGACACCACAGTCTCTCAGAATCCTTTGGGGTCTCAAGGAGTCCCTTCAAACCACCCCCCGCGAACCTTCCAGCATCACTCGCTGAGGCATCAGCAGGACACCTGGACCGCAGGGGTAGACCGGTCCCACCTCCGCCTGGAAGAAACGCAGCAAGCTTCCAAAATATGTTCAAGCAAACATCCGAGCATGTACATATACTGTAATAACACACACATATATTAATATATACATTTATAGTGATTGTATGTGTTCTTGTCGAAACTATGTATGTACAAAAAGAGGGAGACAAGTCATTTCAACACCCTACACCCTTCCTGGTGAAAGTTGCTCTGGCAATCAAACATAGACAACAGGGGCTTGTCATGTCTAGAGTCTACTACAATGATCACATCTCATTTTGCCGCGCACATCGGCGCACCAACGTTCTGATGAACTCTCTGAACACTGCCCCACTGTGGCGCCTACTTGACTTTGGTAGGCTTTGGGATTCAGAATCGCTTCCTGAAGCCAAAGGCGGTGCCCGATGGTGCCCAAAGACCGATACCCAAATGCATCCTCAAAAGGTGATAGGTGATAAGGAAAAATATGAGAAAATATACCCAAACACCTTCTCTTTCTAAGGAGTTATGTGGATCTCTGGGGACACATGCATTCCCAGGTGTTGAAAGTGTTTTTGGCGCATCTGACATCGATGGTGGAAAACTGAGTCCGCGGGTTTCATCCCAAAGGAATTGGTTGAATTCACCTTTACTTTCCTTTACTCATGCCGTCCTTTACTCATGCCGGTGGGCCATAGTTTTCGCAATTCTTGCAAGGAGATGACGCAGCAAAAGGACAGGTTGGATTGATGAACCTTGAAGAAGGAATCTTTGTGACAGCACCCTAGCAGTTGCCTGTCTAAAATCTATCTGTCGAAAAGTGCAGAAACCAATGGATCCTTGGCCCTTTGAATCCTGAACACCTCATGTGGAAAATTGATGAATTTTGTTGCGAGTTCACCTTCGCGGATGACACTTTGATGTGGTCCCAAGAGAATGACTGGCATCTTCTGGAGGTCACGAACACAACAAATTGATGGCCTGGTCACCCCTCCCAAACGAGCTCCACGACCCGAACAAAAATGGCATGATTCATGAATGTTTACCACCTCTGAGAAAGCTGATGTTTTCCATCATGGTTCTGTGACACCAAGCGGAAATTACAAGTGTTGTTTAAGTGTGTTTTGTTGTTCCTGGATTTGGAAGTTCCTCAAAATATGGAGGGCCCTGGTACAAAAATGTACCTGCACAACATGGCCCAACAACTCAAGGGATACATAAAGCATCATAAAACAACCAACAACCACTTTGTCAGGCTCATTTATTACTGAAACATGCACCTCCAAAAGCAAGATCCACGGGTAAATAAATCGCACCAAATCGCCTGAGTAACTAGATCCTGTCAAGGTATAAAGCCCCACCCTCTCTAGCTCACCCCGTTAGATCCCATTAATACTACCCGCGCGCGTCATCGTCCCAGCTCGTCTTCTGTCTTCGCCCAGCATCTGGAAAGCTCACGGCAGAGATGCCACACAGCAACGCGAAAACAATGACCTGCCGCTCCGACCCCAGCCGCAACGACTTCCCTTCGAGAGATCGGAAACTTGCGAGACGACTTCGGAAGCACGTCGATTGGTGGAGAACATGGGATGACGCAGGGACCTGGAGATCACACCGAACTGGGCGCGGAACAAATAACTGAGTGCCAGCGTGTGATCGATATTCTCGATTTGCAAGATGACGAGACCATACGAGTCCATGCGCAATCCCTGCAGGCTTTTCCTGGCACATCATTCAAACTCGGTGTTCGGCACAACTGGGAGTCGACTTGAAAAGAGTGCGCCAAATTTTTATATGTGTGTTCCCTGAATGAAGTGCATCCGGCAACTCTCTGATATTCATGACCTTCGTGTCGAAAGGAAAGCTGCAATCCTGATGATGTTCGGGGACGCCCACATGGTGCAGTAATTATTTGCAAAGATACGGCCGAATTCAACACCTGGCCATTTTGGCCGGGCATATACTTAAGAACGCCTATAAGTACTCAATGTTGTCGAAGTGGGTTTGTTTGCCGTGGCCTGATTGGCCGGCTGCATTAGATGTATATATGTCTGTTCGAAACCTTCCTGATATTCCTTTTTCATGTCCTTTTTCAAGAGATGATATTGTCCACATGTCTGATTGGCCTCATACCTGTTCCGTGAAAGCATGACGCATGGCCTGTATTTCATTTTGGACCTCCTTTCTCAGTTCTTGTTCTGTGCGGTTCTCATTCACTGTTTTTTCTATTTTTTTCTAGCGCTTGCATTTTGGACTGTATGCTCTCGATTTCGGCCTGGTGTTACTGGTGTTTGTTGATCTCATCATGGATCTGCAGGGGTATATGATTACTCGAAGCTTGGCGTCCCGCTCTGCCCAATATGCACTCACTCGTTCCCATGTTTGCGCGAATATCCCCGATGGTGATAACCTTTGGCAAGGCCCATGAAGGCCCCTTGCCAAATCACAACTTGAAGTGAAACATCACAGTATTGTGATGGGCTGGGATCATTTGCAAAAGGAATTGGATTGTACATGATGGTACAGTGAGTGGTGAGCGATGATTTGAGATCCGGCAGCGCAATCGAAGGTCTACCTAAAACGAACTCAAAGTGACAATGTTCGCATTCGTCGTCCTGCGATTTATTGATAGATGCAACCTAGGTGTCTCCCAAAACACTCCCGCGAAGTGCATCCAGGAGGCTTTTAGCGTGGCAATGGACAGAAAAACATGTTTTGGTCTTGGTGTTGTTCTATGGTGGAAATCTGCTGGGGGCAAAAACGGTCGATGGGATGTTTGCCACATGTCTGGCGCGATATTTTCTTTAGGCGCTATAAGTGACTTCGGACCAACAATTTGACATCTTCAACTGTCGGGGCTGCTACTTTATTGATTGCATTGTTTCATGGTTTGCGAGCAAGCATGCTGTGTTTTGTTCAGTGCTCAAGACTGTCACATCATACAAGTCCATTCCCTCTATCGGTGCCATATCAATAGCTGATTGCTTGTCCATTATAGGATTCACTTGACAGTTGCGGTCCCAATATATGGTGGTTGATCAATGTTCTTTCATCCTGGAGTGGCCATTCTTCGCGGAAACAATATATTTTTTGCGGATCTTTCGCGGCCTATTCGCGAAGCATGGTCCTACAACCATGTCTAGCTAACATGAGCCGGGACTATTCATAGCATCACAAAATGGGACAAACATCTTGCAGCATGACCCCAGCAAAATGTTGAGTGCTTCCACAGCTACTCAGGGTCACTTGCAGCATCTGTGCGACAACTGTGCCGAATAGAATCAAGCACAACTCAACCCAATCCTCGCGCCATTTACCAACACAGGGTGATGAGGCTTAGGGAATGCTGGGGGGCCTCAAGCTGGGAACCTGGACTTTAGCGGCGCATTCGCGACGACAAATTTCACTGGCGATTTTCCCGGGAAGGCGTCGCATTTTGGGAAAGGTTAGAAGGGGTTGGAGTAGAAAGTCTTGTAGCATGGGGTCACTTTTTTTTGCAGTCACTTTTTCTTCAACTTCATTCCGTAGCTGCTTGGCTATGAATGAGATCGCTGCCTGGGTTACCGCCCAAGGGGTTGAACAACAAATTGTATGAATAGTTTCATGAGCAAAATTGGACATGGTGAGGACTTCGTTCGCCTCCAATAGATCGCACCGGAGCATTCGTCGCGATGGCCTGAACGAGAAGCGCTCGCCTTTTGCCAAGAGTTGCCGTGAGTGAGACGCATGCAATGTGATTTTCTCAATCCTATTTGCTTTCACCTTTGACTAAAGGTTGCCGTGCCTGGGACGCATTCAATGTGACTTTCTCAATCTTTGCCTTCGCTCCTGATGGAAAAGCACCGTGAAAATCTTCAATATCAAGATTAACCATCGCGAGAACTTCATTCTACCCCGCTCCAAAGCTCCAAAATAGATCATCCCTGAGCATTCGTCGTGTTGTTCGGCTGAGTGGTGAGCTGCATCGGCTATTACAGGGTGTACATGTTTGTTTTCATTTTCCCCAACATCAGGTAACAAATGTTAGGTTTTGATGTCATTCCTGCCTCCTCTGCGGCGGATCTCAGCATTCCTCTCCCGATTGCATTCCTCGTGGGAAAGGTAAAGAATGGGGCAGGGGTCGGGTGGGTGTAAATAATTTCGTTACATTGTGGCAGTGGCTGCTGGGGTCTGTAAAACCAGTGTCCAACAACGCGGACGGCGACAAAACGGCTTTGGTGGGGCGTGCAAGAGGGGCAAAAGAGAAGCTTTTTGAACGTTGCGTGGCCAATCGCAGTCAACCACTCTCTTGGCCTCACCGCGCACCACGCGCACGCCGGGCTCGCCAATCGGGGGAGGAACGCTGAGATCCGGCGCGGAGGAGGCAGGAATGCTGACATCAAAACCTAACATTTGTCAAAAATAAATTCACCCCGTGATAGCCGACATTCAAGTGCAGCCGAACAACACGACGAATGCTCAGCCAGGGGCGATCTATATTGGAGGTAGAACGAAGTCCTCACAATGTCTAACCATGAAATTGAAAATACTCACGGTGCTCTTCCATCAGGAGCAAAAGCAAAGATTGAGAAAGTCATATTGAATGCGTCCCAGTCGCAGCAACTCTTGATAAATGGCGAACGCTTCTCATTCAGGCCATCGCGACGAATGCTCCGAGGCAAAGAAAAGTCCTCACCGTCACCATGTCCAATTTTGATCATGAAGCTATTCATACAATTGGTTGTTCAACCCCTTGGCCCCTGAGACTATTAGGTAACCCAGGCAGCAATCTCTTTCAGAGCCAAGCAGCTACGGAATGAAGTCGAAAAAAGGTGACTGCAAAAAGACAAAAGCGACCCCACGCTACAAGACTTTCTACTCCAACCCCTTCTAACCTTTCCCGAACATTTGCAAACATCTGCGCAGCCTGTCAGAGCAGCTGCAGGTCGTTGCCTCACTGTCAGGGCTGTGCCTACTCAGGTTGCTACTTTGTGACAGTGGGGACAGGAATCGGACAATCCTTTACGCACTGCCAGGGCTGGGCGCGGGAATGTTGAGGCTTCAGTTCTATGACAATGGGGACATGCGGCGAAGCTTTCGCGGAGAAATACTTTCGCGCACTTCATCGCGAATCTTTCGCGGATGGTTTAAACAACATCTGAAAGGCTGTTTTACATAAACTCTTTACACGGGATTTTAGATCATCTCGCGAGCACGAAACTTCCTGTGAACACCTCCTGGTGTAGAGTCGTCCAATGGACCGTTTTTCCCCACATAGCGTATTTCCAATAACATTTCGAGACAGGTTGCGGGCGCTGGTGCTGGTGCTGTAAGCTGGCTGTGCACGTGGGTTGTCGGGTGCCAGCGCCGGTGCTGTGGGCTGGCTGCGCAGCTGGGTTCCGGGCGCCGGTGCTGGTGCTGTGAGCTTGCTGTGCACAGGTTCTGCCGACAGCTGTGTCAAGGGCTGTACTGTTTGCGCGCATACTTTTGTACGTATAATGTTCTATGCGCAATGTCAGGCTCTCAACCGACCATTGTTTCAGCATGTTTCAGCCTGCTACCCACACACAATAGTCGTGCTTACTGCTTGGCCTTGGGCGAGTGAAGCCTACGGGCTTTGCCGTTTGCGCACACACTTTTGCGCGCATAAAAACTTATACACGCAAGATCATACAGCCTTATCGTTCTACAGATCGTTGCTTCAAGCATGCTTTAAATCAATAGTGGCGCTGGATACCTTGGGCCAATGACACTTACGGGCTTTGCTGTACGCGCGCAAAAGTTTGCGCGCGTAAACTTATAGGCGCGGGATCATACGTTGTTATTCCCCAAATAGGGATAGCTACGGGGTTCTGACTGCAAATAAGAATGGTGCTGGTGTTGTGGTCCAGCGCGCGTTCAAGACTTTAAGATGGGCCGCGGCGCTGGTCGGGCGCTGGCGCCGCTGCCGGTGTTGACAGCTGGCAAAGCGCGCCGGTGCTGGTGTCAGCTGGTTGCACGCGCTGTGGAGGCGCCGTAGGCTGGCTGTGCAGGCTGCGTACATTCTTGTTCCAGCCAGTCGCATGTCATCAGGTCGTGGGATTCAGCCTAGCGGTGGTGGTGTTTATGGTGATCATGGCAGTGGTTGTGATGGTGGTGATGGTGTGCTGGCGCTGGTGGCGTGCTGGTGCTGGTGCTGGTGCTGGTGCGGTGCTGGTCCTGCTGCTGCTGCTGCTGCTGGTGGTGGTGGTGGTGGTGGTGGCGGCGGCGGCGGGGGTGGTAGTGGTGGTGGTGGTGGTGGTGGTGATGGTGGTGATGACGGTGGTGATGGCGGCGGTGATGGTGGTGGTGGTGGTGACGGTGGATGAAAGCACACGCATGAGAGCGCACATATGGGAGCACTGAGCACGCGCGAGAGCACATGAGAGCATATTTTCTGCGCCTCCCACGAATTCTGAAACTCAAGGTCCACAAAGTACTGCCCCTGCCACTCTGCACTTCAAGGTCCACAAAGTGCTGCACCTGCCAGCAACTCTGCACATCAAGATTCACATTGCGCAGCCCTACCAAGGTGCTTCAGCATCAAAATGCCAACCTGTAGCTTTCGCTCGAGACTGCCTCCGGCTTCTGAAAAGGTCAGGGTTCACTGCACCTGCCACGAAATCAGAGCACGCCGAAGACCACCACCATGTCCAAAGTGCTGCGCCTGCCACGAAAAGTCGACTTTGGGCCAACAAAGCATGAGGTTCCCTTGCCTGCTGCGAACAGTGATTACCAAGTCCATCCAAGTCCGAAATGCGCACGGCGCCACATCGAGAGTCCTGCGAGCCTGCGCAGTCAAAATGCACTTCAAAGATCTCGAGGTAAAGAAATGTACCGTAAATAGCAGCGAATTAGCAGCACACGGATGCGCACACCTCCGATCAAACACCCGGCCTTAACTGATACCGTAAGAACCTAGTGTTGGGAAAAAAACTCTATCACAGGTGGACGCAACACTGGCGACGTCCCATTCAAAACATCTTCTGGCAATTCAGGAGCCGGGGAAAATGCCTCATGAAATGCCTGTCATGTATATAGAAAAACGTGTCAAACAACACCCTTAGCTTTCCTCCGGCACCAGTATACTACCGGACTTTGAGATAGAACCCCAAAACTATTTTTTTGGACCCGAGAGGATTTATAGGTTAGAAACCAAACGCATCGCTATGAATGCCTTGACACAGAACCTTTTGAATTTCATATTGTCTTTGCAAGCGCTGCTAGAACCCAACGTGTTGATGGCGAACGCACTTGTCACCACCAATCTCTCCTCTAGCTCAACATCAACTCAACAGTGCAGGTCCTCGCCGGCCCATGCACCGCCACGCGACGTGGTGTTAAACCGGGTCGCCCGAAAAGCCTGGCGTTCGGCCCTGCACCGGCCTGGCTCACTTGGAAATAGTGATTTCCTATTCGGCCATTCCAGGTCTTCACGCCGATCTCCTCGATCGCAGAACTCTGCTCGGGACATGGGGAAAGAGGCCAGGGGCGAAAGCCGGCGTTTCGGTGCGGCGTTTGACCACAGCATTGCTGGTGCAAGTGGAGGCATAAGACATGGTACTGGCCACTGTTTCTTGCTCTTCATCCAGGTGTTCCAAAGTTCCCCAGGTGTGTTCGCGTGACGTGAAGGTTTGGCCTTACCCCTTGAACAGCGCAAAAGGAGAGTCGAAGGGGTATATTTTGATGCCGGCATAAAACTATATGTAATTTAATGACAAACCTACATCGTTTCTCGGAACCAAGCATTTTTAATTGAAGCACTGCTAGATAATCTTCAGCAGGCTCTCTCTCTCTCTCTCCCCCTTCCCATGACTTGTTGCTCGAACTTGAACGTCACTTTCTCTTAGAACCGCACAGCCCAGGGGCCCTAGGGCCCTTTTTCCATCCCCTCCTTCACCCAAAGATGTACGTCCAAAAAAAGCCAAGGGTCTCTTGGACACGGAACCTTCCCTCTGGGAACGTCCAGGTCGTTCACCCACGACGGCAACGTGGGAAGCTCCGAGAGCGGATTCTCCGAGAGCAGCTGCGAAGATGAGGTTGTGGATGTTGGAGGTCCCTTGGGCACCAGGAAGCGCTTCCAGTTGGGTAGAAAACGGAAACGACATGGATGGAACCCCCCAAGTTTTATAGGTGAGTCACATTGCAAGGTGAAAATTACATACTTGTGGAGGTGAGCTGCGTAGAGGCTGGTCGTCTCGGTGTTGCTGTTGACGGGGTTTTCATGTGCTTCAAACATCAAAATTCCTCCATCTAAGGAGAGGACATTTCTGGGACGGACTTTGGTGTCGGGTGCAAGGCCAACAAAGGATGTCTATGAAACGGAACACTAAAGGATGTCTATCATAACATGCATTCTGACTGAACTGAACGCCAAGAAAAGAAACATCACCAAAAACAGATCACACATCCGCTCTTTGGTGATTGGGTTCGATCTAAAATACGGTCGGATTCGTGATATCTTGATCAAGAGCACTGCGCTTCGGCTTTCTTCAGTTTGGCATCATCAGCTTATCCAAGCATCTAATCAAAATCTGAGAAAACTAAGATCCTTGAAGTTGAGGGAACATCAGGGGCGAAACGTTCACGTCTCACAAACCAAAGACCTGGTGATGATGACCGTATACAGTATTGATAGAAAGGCGGACATCCCCTTTCAAAGTTCAAAGTGTTCTGGAAACCTCTGGGCCACTGGGGGTTCATTTTACAGTATTCTTTCTCAAATCAGATCCGCTGAGAGTCCGTGGTGGACCAAGTCCGCGTTGACGCCAGTGCCACGTAAGCAGGCTGCCAGGGGGAATCACCTCAACAGCTCAGTAGCAGAAAGATGTGGAACTTTTGTAAGATGTTTTGTGCTGGCTGATCTCTGGATTATTTTTGCAGCTGATCAAGAACCGCAGAATGGTGAATCGCCCAGACCATCTGTGACTTTCCATCTGAACCTCGAGACCATCTGTGACTTTCCATCCGAACCCCGAAAAGAAATAGATTCCAGTATCCAGGGGAGGTAAACAAATCAAGTCAACATCAAGGTGACTCGGACCTCTTGAGGTCCGCACTGGACCTCCAATCCTTGGGGTCATGGCGGGGTTCTTTCTTGCGACTGACTGGCCCCGGACGGCTTGGCCGGATGACGGACCTTACCGGGAGCCCGAGAAAATCTCCAAAGGACCTGTGGGATGCTGGTAGAACAGTGACAACTGTCGGCATCCCAAAATGCTTTGTTGGGCGTAATAAATCAATTTACTCCAAAACAGGAACAGTCTCCAACAATTACAATCTTCCAGCAAAAAGGATCCAAAAAGGCGTCCTAGCTTTCATCCTGCAGCCCAATGGAACAGACCATGGCTCCGTCATTTCACCCACCCTCCCTGAGAGAGCCGCGCCTGTCCCCGGCGCCATAGTGGCATCTTGCTTGAAGACGTTGGCCTCGTAGCCGGTTCAAGGTCAGGTGTAGGTTACTCTGCAGCTTCAGATGTTTTTTGTTTCAAGGAAGGTCACTTTGAAGAAGCTCGTGGCTGAACATGGCTGGATGTTTCTTGAGACAAACGAGTTACTATCCAGGAATTTGGGGGGGATCGTGTTTCCAGTGCAATTTGCCGGATCTATGAAGCTATGGAGCCGAAGGAATCCACTCGTGGCTGGGGGCCGCAAGTGGTTTCTCTGAAGGGTCCATGCAACTGGTTTGCGAGCGGCGACATTGTCGATGAGCTTTGCCTGTCGTCCGCGTCCGTAAGGGCACCGGGATCAAGCCAACTATTCCTCCGTCTTTCTTCCACCCTTCTCCCATGCACCGCGAGCGGTGCCCCGCCTGACCCTGCGAGAGCTCTTCGGGTGGTATGTCCGGGGGAGCATCCAGCTGCAGGGAAGACAGGGAGGAGACATAGCCTCGGAGAGACATAACCTCGGCCACACCTGGAGACCAATAGAACAAAGGCCAAGAAGGACGCACTTGGTTAGTCACAATAACCAGGTATAGATTATACTCCTGGAGACACCCCTTGAAAGAATTCAACAGAGCCAGCCCTGTCAGCATGTATGTCCAAGGGTTATATATATATATATATATAGCTTGTCTCAAAGTAATTGCACTTGGAATTGATGGCATGGCCCTGAAAGGATTACCATTTTCCTGTACAATACAATAGCGGTGAACTCCACTTCCATGATTCATAGAGTGTGTGTGTGTGTCGGCCTTTCCGATTTGATGTTGGATGCAAGGAACCCTTCAGTGATGTCCCCATAAGTGTCCCCATATCCTTCAGCACCATCCCTAGGGGGCCTCAGGACGAAAGCAGGATGCACCGTGTAGTTTGAGGCCCTGCAACTGGCAGCACATGACATGCTTGACATGTGTTTTGAGCAAGCCTTCGCTCATCGAACACCTGGTGCAGGGGTGCAGCTACTTGGCTGCACAGGTTTCTCCTGTCCATGAATGTGCCCAGGACTTCAACAGCACCTCTGGAGGATTGCTGTGGGACGTGCACGAAAAGGCCCACTTTCCTCTATCTGCCCCTTTGGTTCTGCGACAAGTAGCTCTTGGTTCAAATCTCCTACACAAAATGTGTAGTTTGTCAAGCATTGGCTTTTCACGGCTTTTCACTGGAATACTTGGAATATATTTCGATCAGTTTCTGCGTGTCAAAGTATCCCCAAGCGAACCATCACAAACACTCCGGAAAGCCGCTGGTACTTACAGGTGTTCAATACAGGGCGGCCATCTCTTGCCCCAACTATGAACCCTATATTGTGTCAAAAACGGATCGAAGGACCTGACGCTCCACAGATGTCTGAGATAGTCCATAGGCGGCCATATAGGGACTTGCAAAAATTATGCAATCAAGATGATGCATTGCACTTCCCATATACGTGGCGATTTGACACCCACTCCTTTGTCGTCTGACTTCGATGGCGTGTCTCCATGGTGCGGACAAACTTCCTGGAAGAATATCAAACATAATATAATACAGGTGAATACATTTTAAACCATATATAGCCAATTGTAGTCAAATGTAGTAAACAAATTGTAAACAACAAACATGGAATGGAATGCTTCAGGATGTCTATCACTGAACAATACCCCAACACTCCATAGTCGCTCCAAAAAGGGAACTGAACACACACCCCGACGCCAGAATTTCGACGCTCTTTCGGGTCTCTTTCCTGACGCTCTTTCGGCCCAGAAACGATTCCAATTTCGCCCAAACAGCCTCAGTTTCCGGCCCCCTTTCTTCGGCGGAAAAGAGTGATGGGTCCACAGCGGACCAAAGGCTCCACCGATTTTAGGATTCATGGATCGGATCCACTTGGCTCGGCGGGAAATCCCACTGACCTCGTTCCAAACAAAAAATGGGCTCCGCCAACATGGGTCTTGTGGACATGGGCCGTGGATGGCATCTTCTGTGTGTTTTGTTCTTCGTGTTCAGTGTTCTGGCTGGTTGGGGGTGGAGATCACGGATGGCCGTGCAAGCCTGTGGTTGAGCTCCTGTGGGACGCTTGCAGCATGTTCCGACATGTGGAGCCCAAACAAACCTTTAGGATCCTTAGGATAAGTTCTTGACCCAAAAAAGGAATCTTCCGGGACTTCAAAGGCAAAACTAATGGGGTTTGCGTTTGGCCGACTTGCTGCGCTCCAACGAAGGTACCATGGGGTATTAGATAAATCAGCAAAGAATGTGTGCCCATGGAACCTCAGGTAGGAGCAAGAGTATGACATATAGATTTATATATATTATATACATTCCTCTAAAGGAACTGTGAATGCTTAAGAGAGCAGATTGCAGCTTGCTGGGATTTGGATGCCTTGTGCAAATCCTCGAAAACAACACATGTTCCCTTCAAGTCTTCAAGATTCCCGAACGCCGTCTACCGTCCCAAAAGTGGCAGGAAACACCACTGCACTGGAGTGTGCGACATCCTTCACTCTTCATTGGTGGGGTTTCCACCATGAAACTACAAGCAACTATCATTGCGGGACAAACACACCACTCCTGCACAATGCTGTTCTGTTATGTTTTTCGCAGCAAACTCTGAAAAGTCTTCTCTGGCCAAGGCACCGATCGCTGTAGAGGGAACCGATCACCAGGGTCAATGCCACTAACCTGAGGCAGAGGTGACTTCAAAAGGGCTTCACAATTCTTTTGGATGTCTGAGATCAGCTCGCATACCCACCCTATTATCAAACAAGAAAGGACACGTTTATATAGACCCTGGAATCTTTGTAACTCATGAATTTATGATTCCATCACCACCTTTCGATGACATCGTCTTGATAAGCAAGAAAGCAAGCAAGCACGCAACCCAGCCAGCCTCCTGAGTGAAGAGTAAAGTTTCACTCAATGAACTTGGAAGAGTCCTTAGAGGTCCCCAAATAGTATAGAAATACGGAATACGCATGATGTCCACTAGCTTTTAGAAGGAAATTCACTGTTTCAATCTATTGGGATCTATTGGGTGGACCGAGCAGCAGGAGGATGCCACATCGACCCCCACACCGGGCCGAATCCTCCATCGCCAGCCATGCTGGGCGCTGAACTGCAGGCCAGTCGTGGAACCCCCCCAAATGGTCAAAGGTCTCAGGCCTTTAGACGTTAGTAAGGTTGGCTTTCTTGGGGTTCATGGCTTTGACACCATGACAACACTGTAGAGCCGTCCCGTCGTGAAGGGTGAAGATCGCGGCGGGCCACTTTCTTTCTCAGACCAGTTGGACATGACAGCAATGCCCCAAATATGTACAAACGGGTCAAATATGTAGGAAGTCTATGCTGTCCATGCTCCGTTCCTCGCTTGCTGGGCGTTCGGGTCGGGTCGGGTTCGGGTCGCTGGACCGAGGGAAAGGACGGACGGAAAGGACGATTGAGAGGCCGGAAGACGTGGATGAACGGCTTGTGGAGTTCCAAGGCCAGCGATGTCAAGTCTGTTGTTAACTACAATGCTACCATGTTACATCATGTTACATCATGTTACTATGTTGTGGCTCATTTGTCTCAAATGCTATATGATGTGATGCTATGTGTCCAGCATAAAGCCTCGGTAGATCCTTCGGGCTCAGAGCTTTGGGTGCCCCGCCTGTTCCCGAGTGTGGTCATGTAACTGCGTGAACTGCACACTGACATGATGGTTAACGGATGTTAACATCATGAGGAGGTGTGTCACTTTGTGGATTCAAGCATGAAACATACAACTTAGCAAGCGATCTGAGACTTGACCCAAAAGGAAAGCAAGAGCCGCGAGTTCAGTGGATCGACCCAGGATCGACAGGAGGTTGGGAAGCCAAACAAAAGTGTTCAGAATATACCGGTTGAATCTCTGCTTGGGCTGGGGTTTTCCATGTTGTAAAGGGGTCTTTCTGTCTTTCTGCTTCAGAGTCGTCCAGTCTTTCTGCTTCCGTTTGAGCATGGAATTTCTTAAGTCGGGCCAAACATCCCGGGGCCCTCTGCACATATGCTCTTCAGCCTTCCCAAAGAAACCGAGTAATCACTTGACATGAGTTCACGAACAATATGGAACAACATCCCAACATATACAACGTAACATCCATTCCAAGGGTGCTCTTTCCATTCCTATCATAGATTTTGGTTGCAGTGTGGCGATTAGAATTCTCTAGTGTTTTTGATGAGCCAGCCGGTCGCTATGAGATTACACCGGAGTAAAATAGTTCAAGCGCATGGTTCATATCACTGATCATGGCAACAGCTCAGGTCATCCAAAACTGACCCACCCTCACGAAACTTGATCATGCCACAACTTGATCATGGGGACAATGACCCCCAACGGATTCTACAACTTCAGATCCAGCAACTTGAACCGTTGGGGTTAGAGCCGGATTCGGAAACTAATCGGTCGGATTCTGAAACTAGGGTTCTGAAACTGGGGTTCTGAAACTTGGGTTCTGAAACTTGGATTCTGAAACTGGTATTCTGAAACTGGTGTTCTGAAACTAGGATTCTGAAACTGGGGTTCTGAAACTAGGATTCTGAAACTGGGATTCTGAAACTTGTATTCTGAAACTGGAAAGGATTCTGCAACTGGTATTCTGAAACTGGAAAGTCAGATTCTGCAACTGGTATTCTGAAACTGGAAAGTCAGATTCTGCAACTTGCCTTCTGAAACTTGCAACTGGGGTGATCTCCACATCATGCGATAGCGTGTGTGCCTGTGACATCACCTTCGAAGCACATCCAAACCAACGTCATTAGCCCCCCACCCAACCCCCCCACCCCCAACCCCCCCTTGTCCCCATCGTGTGATCTCGACATCCCTCATCATTCACAAAGTTGCGGAATCCTAGTGAGGGAGTCCACAATGTTGCGGAATCCTAGTTGCGGAACGCCAGTTGCGGAATCCCAGTTGCAGAATCCTAGTTGTGGAATCTTGACAGTTGCGGAATCCTAGTTTCGGAATCCTAGTTGCGGAATCCTAGTTGCGGATTTCTAGTTGCGGAATCCTAGTTGCGGAATCCTAGTTCGGAATCCCAGTTGCGGAATCCCAGTTGCGGAATCCGACCAAACAGTTGCGGAATCCTAGTTGCGGAATCCTGCGCAGTTGCGGAACTCGACTTTATCCAACCGTTGGTCTACGGCGGTAAAAAACGGATTCCTCCCCTTTCGACCGAGGATTCCCGCTGTTTGTTTGGTGTCGGTCCCCGGCGACGGGATTTGCCGAGCCAAAAAAGCCAATCCTCAGGGATAAAACATATCCACCAGTGATTGGACCAGTGAAACCATGTGAAACACCAGGGCCAAAAAGCTATACTATGAGGTGTACCTATGATGAAAAACGATCAAGTGTTCCTGGTCGTTCTTCCTCACCAGCATTGCAAAATCGTTCTTGTATGCAGCTAGTCGTGTGACAGTGTGATGACTGAATCATCTCGTACTTGTGGAACAATATACATTTTTTGACCCGGACCCGTTCAAATGTGATTTTCCAAAACCAAAGTGACCTATCAAATAATTACAAATAACATAAAATAACTACGCTTGAAATGTTGAACTGTTCACCTCTGATACATGTTGACGTCCTATTGTTTCATCTGCAGCACCTGCAGTCAAATCATCGTTCGCATCACACAACAAAGCAGCCATCCACGACCCTATCACAGCTGTCCCCATCCCGCCTTGAACTCTGAGCGCTCGTGCAACTCCCTGTCCGCTATGTTAGATTCGAATCAAAGAAATGAAAGCACGACTCAAGGCAAACCGAACGATACCACCAAGGTAATCCAAGGTATAATTTCTGAGGCAGGTGAACAAAACAATAAATAGGTCATAGGTCGGACCCAGGTAGAAGGGATGCACCTGGTATCATGCCAGTGTTGACCAGTGTCATGCCTGGCGGGGGTAAAGCCGCTTCCACGAATCCCTTCCACCTATTGAAAAACACACACACTCACACTCACACGCGACGCCTCCAACCCCCCCAAATAGTAAAAACCACCGCGGTGTCGTGTTTTCCCGAATGCGTAGCGAAGGGTTCTCGTTTAACTCTTGGGGGTCTGGGGGTAGAGCCTTGTTCGCGACCCGTTGCTTCTATGTTCGCAACCGTCCGCAACCGTCCGCAACCGTTCGCAACCGTTCGCAGTAGGACGCTAAGGCGCTGCCATTGGGGGAAGCTTTTGCAAGTGACTTTTCACATTCACGTGTCAGTTTGCGACGCTATTCCATTGTGATTTGCATGAAAATGACATGTCGCGCAAGAAGCGTGATGCATTTCGCTGCACAGGCGCAGTGGTTTGAGAGATCCGCAGTTTACTGCGCAGTTCCATTGGGATTAGCGTTTGGAGAGTCGTGTTTTTGGGGTGTTGGATGTGGCCGTGCCATTGGGATTTGCGTTTCAGGGTGTGGCATCGAAGCTCTGTTTTCGTGACAAGTCTCAGCTGAAATGGCGATTTTGGTGGATGGGAGTGTGCTCAGAACGGGTCGAAATCATTCTAAACGTGTGGTGTGGTGCAAATTTTGTTGAAGCTCACGTGAGATGATATTCTCACTTTTCGTGGCAGGCACAGTACTTTGTGCTGATTTTGAGGTGTGGAAGTGCGATTTTCGTGGCAGGCGCAGGAAATCGTGAGGTTGCGAGGTGTGACGGAGGTGACATTTCGTGGCAGGCGCAGTACTTTGCGCGCGTTAGACGTGTGGATGCGGAAAGATTCGTGGCAGGCGCAGGGAATCGTGAGGTCGTGAGTTGTGGTAGAGGTGAATGTCGCTGTCACATTGGGATTGGCGTGTGAGGGGGTATTGTTTGGAGGGGCTGGACTCGCGAAACTGCTTGGCAGGGCTGCGTGATGTGTGTGCTCCGATGGGTGTTTCCGCTTGACTTTTGGAGGAAGGCTCGTACGAAATCCTCGTTTTGCAGACTTTGACATGTGAGTTTTGGAGGAAGGCTCGTACGAAACGCTCGTTTTGGAGACTTGACACGTGACTTTTGGAGGAAGGCTCGTACGAAACGCTCGTTTTGGAAACTTGACGTGTGACTTTTGGAGGAAGTCTCGGACGAAGCGCTCGTTTTGGAGACTTGACGCGTGACTTTTGGAGAAAGTCTCGCGCGAACGCTCGTCTTGTGCAGCCTCGAAGCGTGACTTTTGGAGGACGTCTCGTACGAAACGCTCGCAGGACTGCTTCTAGTGTGCCACAAGAGTGTCCCACAAGAGTGTCCTATAAGAGTGTCCCACAAGAGTGTCCTACAAGAGTGTCCCATAAGAGTTTCCTACAAGAGTGTCCCACAAGAGAGTCCCACAAGAATGTCCCACAAGAGTGTCCCACAAGAGTGTCCCACAAGAGTGTCCTACAAGAGTGTCCCACAAGAGTGTCCCACAAGAGTGTCCTACAAGAGTGTCCCGCAGGAGTGTCCCACAAGAGTGTTCCAGAAGACTGTCCTACAAGAGTGTCC